ACACACACACACACACACACACACACACACGCGCGCGCGCGCGCGCGCGTGGGTCGAACCCGTTATTTCATTTTTTTTACTTTTTTTTTTTCTTTTTCGATTGATTGATTGATTGATTGATTGATTGATTGATTGATTGATTGATTGGTGGGGAAGGGGTCGCCCTTCCCCCCCGCATATGCCCGCACACACACCCCCCCCCACACACACATGAAAGTTTAAAATTTTTCTTTTTTTATTACGTTTCTTTTGATTAAAATACTTGTTTTTTGGTTTTGTACTTTTTAAAAATGAAAAAGCACTTCATAATCCAAAACAAAAAATATAGGGTTGTAGGTATCTTCAAGCCCTACGACCCCTTTTTTTTTTTTTTTGTCTTTTAGTTTTTGTTTTTTTTTTAATATATGAAATTCTCGGTCGCACCCAACTGCATGGGCCATAGCCTGCGGTCGGGATCCTGGCCGCAAGCCGAGTTTGACCCCGCGGGGGATTCATAGGCTTTTGTGGCTTGTTGTTGTTTCCCTTTGTGAAGGTCGGGGGTCTCAAGCTCAAATGTGCTCGTCGTTTTGTTGTCCGGCCGCATACACGCAGCTCCGTGGTCATGGCCATGCAAATTCAGAGTTCTATAATTGGAGAGGTCCTGCGTCTTGTAGGTTATGTGGTTATTTTACATTGTCACATTCGTCGGACTCGTGTTGGAAAACGCGTATTCATTTTCCGTTTTGTTTTTCTTCTGTTGTACAAGGGTAGGGTCATCTCGAACACGGAGGTCCTCGAAATATCTCGAGCACATATTGCAGAAAGTCCCCGGGTTGACGACAAAACACAAGGATATGTCAAAGGCATGAGGGGTTGATGTCGAGATCGGAAAAAAGAAGCATGCCATTGCCATTGAGGAGTGTCTTTCCCTTCTGCCCCCAGAGAAAGGGACATATTCATGATCTGTGAGTAGGGGTCAGACCATGTATGACAAATACTTAGCAACGCGTCATGCAATGAAGGACAATGCTTAGACACTGCGTTTCTCACTACCCCGCGTGTCCTTTGCTCGATGTTATGCAGTGCGGGCCACAACACGTGGAACACGCGGGGGAAGATTCGTTGCAACGATTGCGCCTCGAAGCTTGCGGGTTTTTGACGACATTAAACGAGGCTCGGTGCCACCTCACATTGTTCTCTCTACCCTTGCCGACGGTCAGTTGGTAATTGCAGCAAAAGATCTTCACCCTCTTGCATATCGACGGGAGGGTGAATGACTACGAACCCCCCCTGGCGGCGGCCAAGCGCGGTGAACTCCGCGACCCCGCGGACACGTCCGGCCGCTAGGGAGGGGCACAAAACATTTGAGTGGTGGCATAGGGCGGTGCATCCCCAGCCCCACCCCGTCAAGCAAAAAAAAAAAAAAAAAAAAAAAAAATTTGGGGGGGGGGAAGGGGGGGGGCCCCCCCCCCCCCCCCCCCAAAAAAAAAAAAAAAAAAAAAAAAAAAAAAATTTGGGGGGGGGGGGGGGTAGTGAGTGAAGGAAAAAAAAAAACGCCATTTTTTTTTTTTCCGTTGATTGATTGATTGATTGATTGGTGGGGGCGGGGTCGCCCCCTCACCCCCCACACGAGCGCACACACACGCACACACACGCACACACGTAGTACTGTATAATTCCATGTTCTAGCGGAAGATTCATTCGATTTTGCCTTTCTTTTTTTTGATGGATTGATTGATTGGTGGGGGCGGGGTCGCCCCCCCACCCCCAACACGAGCGCACACACACACACACACACACACACACGTAGTACTGTATAATTTCATGTTCTAGCGGAAGGTTCAGTCGATTTTGCTTTTTTTTTTTTTTATTGATTGATTGGTGGGGGCGGGGTCGCCCCCCTCGCCCCCACACGAGCGCGCGCACACACACACACACACAGACACACACACACATACATACACACATGCACACATACGCGCACGCACATGCACACACACACGTACGGACGCACACACATACACACACACACACACACACACACACACACACACTATAATAAGGAAACCATGAAGGAATTAAAAAAAAAAAAGAACTATTTTTTTTTTTTTCATTCCTTGATTGTTCCCTTATTACACAATAAAAAAAATAAAAAATTTATGTAAAAGTGAAGAATACAAAGAACTGCCAACCAAAAATCTCCCCCCCTATATATATATATATTTTTTTTTTTATTGATTTTTTAATTTATCTTCTCAACTTTTTATGTTTTTGATTTTTTATAATTCTTTAACATGATCTTTTTCCAAAAAAACAAATATGGGGTTGCAGGGATTAAAAATCCCTACAACCCCTTTTTTTTTTTTTTTTTTGCTAATTAAATAAATTATAAAAAATACGGCAAATTCACGGACGCGGCCATATATGTGACCGCCCTCCGAGCCCGAACCCACGGACGAGTCCGC